AAAGTGTTGTATTTTTTTTTCAGTGTCTCAGCAGAAAGTCACCCAGAGCATCACTTTGCTTTTTCTCACAGTGCATCCATCCATCCACAGCACACACGTCCCCGGCTGTCCATAACATGTAAAAGAATACGGGACTCATCGGACCAGGCAACCTTCCATTGCTTTAAGGTCCAGTTCCAAAGCTCTCAGACTCATCATAGGCACCTTTAACTGTGGAAAGTGTTTAACAAGGGCTATGCAGCCCCAGACATAGCAGGGTGTGATGTACTGTGGGTTGAGATATTCTTCATGAAACCATCATTAGAAAATTCTGTGACTTGTGACACAGTAGCCCTTCTGCCGGTTCAGATCAGACAGGAGAACCTTCCTTGCCCAGAATGCTATCAGTTGGTACTCACCACTTCTGACCAGGAGCACCCCATGAGCCTTGCTGTTTTTGAGATGCTCTGACCCAGTCGTCTGGCCATAATGATTTGGTTTGTCAAAGTTGCTCAGGTCTTCACACCTGCCCCTTTTCTCACGCTTCCAACGACTGTTTGTTTACTGCCTGATACATCCCATGACATGCCCTGCACTGTTGTTATGAGATAATCAATGTTATACATATGTATATATAACATTGATTATACATGTATATATATGTATGTGTATATATTTATGTATAAACTCAGGGAGAGAGAGATAAAGAAAGCGAGAAAGAGAGGCAGGAGGGGAGGGTGGGAGGTGTGTATGTGTGTCTGTTGGTGTTTTAATCAGTACTCTGGTCGTTCTCTAGAGGATTCCAGCTCTGCTCTGGTCTGTAAAGCCGAGTTTGGCGCATACAAGCACTCGCTAAAAATAGATCTGATATTTCTCTACTCCCTTCATCTGCTGCTGATCTCTCTCTCTCTCTCTCACACACGCACACACACGCACACTCAGTCTAGGTCTCTCTCACTCTCAGACACACACACACACACACCCCATACTCAATCTGTCTGTAGCACTCTCTCTTCCCCTCCCCACCCACTCAGACCAACCCTGGTTCAGTAATAAAATGTTAATAAGGCCACTCCCACAGAAGTGTGTGAGTGCTGAATTGCTCTCCTGTGTGTGTGCTTGTGGTGGTGTGTGGAGATTGATGCAACTGCCCGTGTGTGTGTGTGTGTACACCTGTTTGTGTAGTCCTTTGAGAGCACTGATTATTAATGATTTTGGGCAGCAGGATTGACCAGTAAGCTGCAGTGGACGCGCCAGAATACTGATTTGGGGGGATCTACACTTGTCCCTGTCTGAACCTCATAGCAGATTTAAATAGGTCTGAAACCTCTGATACACACACAACAAAAAACATCCTTTAACAGGAACTGCTTGTTTCAAATAGAGCTGCTCTAATATGTAAAACACAGCCTTTTCTAACACACTGACAAGTATTTATCATTAGAAATACACAACTCTAATGTTCATACAGACTGTCACCAAATAGACATTCACTGGCCACTTTATTAGAAACACCTGCCTTGTGCTTCCACTCACTGGTCACTTTATTAGAAACACCTACTTTGGGCTTCCACTCACTGGCCACTTTATTAGAAACACCTCCCTTGTGCTTCAACTCACTGGTCACTTTATTAGAAACACCTCCCTTGGGCTTCCACTCACTGGCCACTTTATTAGAAACACCTACTTTGGGCTTCCACTCACTGGCCACTTTATTAGAAACACCTACTTTGTGCTTCCACACGGTGGCCACTTTATTAGAAACACCTGCCTTGTGATTCCACCAACTGGCCATTTTATTAGGAACACCTACCTTGGGCTTCCGCTCACTGGTCATTTTATTAGAACACCTAACTTGGGCTTCCGCTCACTGGTCACTTTATTAGAACACCTACCTTGTACTTCCACTCACTGGTCACTTTATTAGAAACACCTACCTTGTACTTTCACTCACTGGCCACTTTATTAGAAACACCTGCCTTGTGATTCCACCCACAGGTCATTTTATTAGGAACACCTGCCTTGGTCCACCACCCTAAAACATCCAGGCAATACATCTCTGTGGTCAGAAACCGGACACTGATAAAGGGATAGAGGATGGCTACCACAAATTGTGCATTAACAGATGGGCTACAGTCTGTAAAGCAGCAAGATGGAGCTACAAAATAAGGGTTTCTAATAAGGTGGTCAGTGAGTACACATTAAGTCATGAAATAGCTATTCAGTATACTGTTTACATATTAAGGCATTTATAAAAAATAATCTTTAATTTTATTCTTAGTCTGTTTTCAGATACACTCACTGGGTAGGAGCTTATAAAGTGGGCAGTAAGTGGATGTATAAAGTAGTGTGTCTAATGACATGAACAGTTAGGGTATGTCTTAAACACAATATGCAGCAGTATAATCACAGTTAAATATTTTGCCTGTATTATATTTCTAAAATGTTTCACACCAGCACTAATGCACTTTCCAATGAGATATTGCTCTTCACTTTGTACTGCAGGTATAGTTGTATTTGCGGTCTCGCCTCAAGCTCTTGTCTTTAGGCGATGGCTGCCTGCATCCAGTCATTTCTCACTGCTTGCATCATTGTGCCATCTGCTGTCTGCACGTCTTGTATCGTCCCTGATAAGAGCGTGTGCTAAATGCACACTTGTAAAGTTGCTCTCTCTCTCTCCAGAGTAGTGCTGTGAAGATGGCTTGTCCTAATCTCTCTTCCTTTCCTCTACCTTCAAGAGATGCTGCTGATATACTGAGGCAGAACATCAACACTGTCAGTTGTGAGGAATGTTCTGGGATCCAGAGCTGCATTTGAAAATGTTAAATAGGTGTAACCCACACTGAGGGGTGAATTCTGAGTTGGAGTCATCTGTGGGTTCAGGGACGGCCTCTGAGAACTGAGATATTACTGAGTGGTCGTTATCAAGGAATAGTGATGAAAGAGATAAATGAGATTTACATTATTTTAGAAAGAGTGTTTGTGTAGAGTGGGGTCCACAAATCGGAGACCACTTTAAAAAAAACACCAGCATGGGAGAACTGCCACTCCAACCATGCAGTTGGAACAGCAGGCAGGTCACTTCTGACCATACAACTTATTCCTGTCCACTCCTTCATGGTAGACACTTAACCCAACTAACTACCACACAACCTGGCACAGAATAGTACAACCAACATGTAAACATATGTTAAACTAACAACTTTTCTACAATAAATGTCTCTCCTACCGTGAGTGAGGCACTTCCTTTTCACATGGCTACTTAGCATGGCCACGCCTCCTGCGCTCCTACAGCCGGAATGGCCCAATAAAACATTTTCATTAAATTAGAAAAGATTGCAAAACAAGCATTTTCTCTAACAGTGTCTGACTTTTGAACCCCACAGTATGTGTATTTAGATCTTTGTTGGTCCAGATGTCTCCAGGAAGATGGAAAACGTGACATTGTGAGGACATTTGGCTGGTACATGTGAGGAAAAATGGTTCTGTATGTAACATGAAGTTTTGTATGAAAAAAGTTAAATAGCCAAAAGGTTTCCTCTTGGTTACTGATGGTAGGGTTGGGGTAGCTGTAGAACAGCAGCATTAACACAGTAATATAGAAGTAAATGGAAATACCCCACACATACAGGAATACAAATGTGTGTATGTGTGTGTGTGTGTGTGTGAGAGAGAGAGAGAGGGGGAGAGAGAGAGAGGAATACAAACGTGCGCATGTGTGCTCGAGGGAGGGTCTGTGTCGTTTTTCACTCCTAGCGAGTCACAGACGAAGGCCGCTGGGTTTCTATTTTCAGATTTCTTCACCTCGCAGCATAAAAATTGATGAGTTCTTCAGCGCTGAAGATTCATCACACTGTTGAGCTCGGAAAGAACAAATTGATACGTTTTTCTGTTGTGTCTGTATTAGAGAGAGAGAGAGAGAGAGAGAGAGAGAGAGAGAGAGAGAAAGAGATAAATGAGATAAACAGAAAAAGAGAGGATAGAGAGACGTACAGATAAAAAGACATGAGCAGAAAGAGAGTGAGAGGCAGAGAGACAAGGGAAGAAAGAAGAGAGGTAGAGAGAGAAGGAGATATATAAAGAGACGAATAGGATATAAAGAAAAGAGTGATGAAGAGTGAGAAACATTGATAAAGGATAGAGAGAGAAAACGACAGAGAGGGAGAGAGAAAGGACAGAGAAACATAAAAAGAGAGATACATAGAAAGGGAGAGATGTAGAGAGAAAGACTGAAAAAGGTACAAAGAAGACAAGTAGAAAGAGAAAAGATAGAAATCAAGAGAGAAAAAGAATAGAAAGAGAAAAGAGACAGAGGGAGGGAGAAATAGAGGATAGAAAGAAAAAGGACAAAAAAGAGAGTAAGAAAATAGGATAGAGAGAGAGAGAAAAAGATGATAGAGCTAGGAAGAAATACAGAAGAGAAAGACAGGATGGAGAGAGAAAGAAAAAGGAATAGAGAGAGAGAGAAAGCGAAGAAAAAAGGATAGAGGTAGAAAAAGGACAGAGAGAGGAAAAAAGACAGGTAGAGAGAAAGAAAAGATAGGGAAAAACATGATAGAGTGAGGTTCATGGAGAGAATGATAGAAAGTAGAGTGATACAGAGAGACAAAAAGAAAGGACAGAGAGAGAAGAAAGAGATAAGAAGAGAAAGAAAGAGAGGGATGTATAGTGAGAGAAAGACTGAGAAAGTGAGAGAAGAGGAAAAGAGAAAGTGGTGAAGAAAGAGACAGAAAGATGGAGAATAGAGAGAAAGATTAGATAAAGAGAGACATGCAGATAAAAAGAAACATAGGCAGAGAAAGAGAAAAGAGACGGATAAAAACAGAGGCAGAGAGAGAGAGAGAAGTGCTGTGTTTGATGCAGTAACCTTGCAGCGCTGCAGTTTTTCATGCCTGCAAGGCTGGCATGCAATATTAATGATTCTGCTAAGACAAAGAATGCAGCTCTCATCCTTTCCCTCTCCCTCTCTCATCTTTCATCTCTCTCTTTCTCACTCTCTCACTCTTTCTATCATCTTCCAGGATGATTTCCTCTACAGTGTGTCGGTGATCAGCGGTGTGGTGTGTGTGATTCTGGCCGTGCTGAAGTGCATGCTGGGGAGAGTCCTGACCAGCAGAGCCCTCATCACAGACGGTACGTTGCCGTAGCAATGGCCAGCCGGGGTTTTTCCTCTTTGCAGCGTCATAGCAACTGAACCTGCATCTGTCTGCCTTTTAGCCACTCCCTCGTTGCTGCTGACCAATAGGGAGCCGAGAGGTTTTAGGGTGGAGAGGGGACTGTCCAAATTGTCACTGTCGTGATAAAATCTTGTATCTCTGAAATAGTTAAAGGAGGCAGGAAAAGACTATTTTTAATGTCTGTTAAAGGAGTAGTTTGGCGAGAAATCCTTCACTTACCCCACATCAGTCACTCAACCAAGACATGTTTGGTGTCCTAATTTTGCTTCTGTGGTTTAGTGCTGGAGCTACGAGGCTAACGTTGCTAAAAACACTAGAAGTCAATAGTCAACCAAATTCTTAATGTTAATACATCCCCAAAACATCTCTCAACCGACTCAGAACACATCCAGCTCTTCATTAAGGGTCATAAAGGACACAGTATGACCAGCAGCACTGCTGTGTCTGATCCACTTATACCAGCACAACACACACTAACACACCACCACCACATCCGTGTCACTGCAGTGCTGAGAATGATCCACCACCCAAATAATTCCTGCTCTGTGGTGGTCCTGACCTTTGAAGAACAGGGTAAAAGGGGGCTAACAAAGAGAAACAGATGGACTACAGTCTGTAATTGTAGAACTATAAAGTGCACCTATATGATAAATGGAGCTGATACAAATAGACAGTGAGTATAGACACAAGGAGGTGTACTTAATGAAGTAGCGAGTCAGTGTATGTACACGGTTCCTTGGCTCAAAGTAAGTCATACTTTCCTAAACTACATTAACAAGTCTGTGTAACCTTAATGAAGATCTGCAGTTTGAGTGGGTTGAGAGAAGATATGGGGGTGTGTTTATCGAAAAGATTTGGGTGACTATTGAGTTCGAATGTTTGTTAGCAACATTAGCCTTGCAGCTCCAGCGCTGAACTAATGAAGCAAAATTCGGACATCAAATATGTTTTTGCTGATCATCTGTATCTGAGGTTAGTGGAAAATTGACTAAGGCAGAATTTTTGGTCAAATCATTACTTTAATGTAACCTTTTGGACCATTTCTATCGGACCATTCATCAGTAAATGCTCACAGTGTAAAGGGCAGCTGGTGTTGTTTTCAAAAGGTGTGAAAAAAAGAACAGCCAAAAAAGTTTGTGATATGACAGCAACGAAATGCTGCCTAGTACTTATGCAGAAAACCAGGGAGGCAAAAAGACAGATGGTCCAGATGGACAGAGAGACTGGACAGTAAAAGATGGACGGACTAGCGGGCCTACAGGCCCATTAGCAAATCCGCATCCACTTGCTGATGGGGGAGTAAGCATAAGAGGCGTGGTGCGGGATCCATTTTAGAAATTTTGTGCCATCACACCACACCCCCAACCAATCACATAACAGTTATCATAAATTCAACCAATCACGGCACTGCCTGCTGAACTGTTGTTCATGCTGTTCTGATCTAACTTTGGCTGTCACATAAAATTCTGAAGAAGACAAAAAGAGCTGACAAAGCAAATGAGCGGCTCTTGAAGGGCAAAGAATGTTCTAGACGTTTAGGCAGCTTTTACAGGCTATGAACAGAGTTCTGGTTGGAGTTACTGTCCACTGTGTTACCGTGAGAAAGCACAGAGGTTATTCTCTCCGGCTAAAGCAGAGCAGACACTGCTGGGCCAGCTGACACTACTGAGACTGAAGTGTAGATAGAATAAGCAAATATACATCACGCACACACACAGACCCACAAACACGGACTCGCCTGTGACTAAATTTGAACCTGGTTCACAGCAGAGTGTGAAATTCAACACCTGCGCTGAGAAGTTTCTTCCTAAACCAGAGCACATCATTATAGACTCTTTTCTGCCTCTAACAAATTCCTCTGGGTAATCATCAGTAGTATGAGCACAAAGGGGGAGAACAAACATACAAAGACACTATAAAAAGGCCTTATAATATGTTTGAAGAATAATTTCACCATATATTTTGCATAATTCAATCTTTAAGATGTGGTCAAAGTCATTTAGAGTGCTTTGATATGAAATGCTCCATTCTAGAGAAAATGACTGGAGTCAGAATTGGTCACAGTGGTGGTGATAGGAACCAGACTTCTGAAGAGTTTAATTCCCCTGAGACATTGTTTTATGACACGGTTTGGGCCAGACATTTATTTTTCAAAACCCCTTTGTGGTGGAGAGGTACATGCAGAACATCAGGGAGACAAGTAGACAGATGGTCCAGATGGACAGCCAGACTTAACGAACAGCAGACAGACTGGCAGGCCTAAAGACCTACAAGCAAACCAGCATCCAGGTGCTGATGGGGGGTAAGCATAAGAGGTGCAGTGAGGGATGTGCCATCACACTCCTCCCTGTCAACCAATCACATTACAGTTCTGAAAAATCCAAACAATCACGGCACTGCCTGCTGAGCTGAGACATCGCTTTATGATAGTTTTGTGAAGTTTTTGACCAGAAATATATATTTCAAAACTCATTCATGGTGGAGAGAAATATGCAGGACATCATAAGTCAAAATAGATTTACCACTGTTTTATTACCATTTATCAAGACACACAGGTTTACTGGTCATTATGGATAGTAAATAAAATAGCTACACCTGCTTCCTAACACCACTGCTGTAAAGTTTCGGCAGTGCACCATTTCGCATCAAACCACTCCGAATGACTTTGTTTACATCTCAACGATTGAGTTATGCATCAGTTTTGAAAAATGGATGGAATTACCTTTAAGTCTGAATAAGTGAACACAACACCCTCTCACTGTAATTATTCCCTCATTATAGTTGTCTTTTAATTGATGTGTTTGTTTGTTTACCTGCAGGTTTTAACTCGCTGGTGGGTGGAGTAATGGGTTTCTCTATCCTCATCAGTGCTGAGGTGTTCAAGCATAACCCTAAAGTCTGGTACCTGGACGGTGCCATCGGCGTCTTGATCGGACTCATCATCCTCGCCTACGGCATCAAGTGAGGTTTTAGAGAGACACAGCTAAATTGGACACAGCTAAACTAATACTAAACCATTAGCATCTTGATAACTGCATACCTGTCATCGCTCACTTGCCTTGTAATCTACAACAGACCTGTAAGATAATAGATAGGCTTCAAGATTTTACAGTAGCTAACAGTATGTCATCCAGTGTCAGAAATCACACACAAATCTATCTGAGATTGCTTAACAACATAACGTGGTTTGAGGTGAGTGTGTTATGATTTAGGCCTGTTTCACACATTCTACGAGGTGTGAGTGGCACAGAACATCTATTTTTACAGCATTTTTACATTTATTATAAAGCATTTACACAGCCTGCCAGAGCAGCGAGGCAGAGCATTCCAGACTTTTCAAAGAAGTACCGCTGCATTAAGTCTAAACAAAACGATAATTCATAAATGAGCATGCTGCATTTGTTTACCCTCAGTGATCATTTAAAGTCAGTAGATCTACCAGAAAACATGCGACTGGCCACTTCACTAAGCACACCTCCTTGTATCTAAGCTCATTATCCATTCTATACGCTCCATTTACCATATAGGTGCATGTTGTAGTTCACACACTAACACACTACCACCACATCAGTGTCACTGCAGTGCTGAGAATGATCCACCACCCAAATAGTACCTGCTCTGTGGTGATTCTGTAGGGGGCCTGACCATTGAAGAACAGGATAAAGGGGGCTAACAAAGTATGCAGAGAAACAGATGGACTACAGTCTGTAGTTGTAGAACTACAAAGTGCATCTATATGGTCAGTGGAGCTGATAAAATGTACAATGAGTGTAGATACAAGGAGGTGAACTTAATAAAGTGGCTGTTCAGTGTTTGTAGCACCACATGGTTAACTAGTATTTTGTTTAATGAAAGACACAAATCTCATTTTAGAGTTTTTATTTAGTTTCTAAACTTGATTATTTTTATTGGTTTTCATTCAGTTTATTTCATTGCTTTACTTGACGCCTGAACTCTGCTGAGGGTAAACGAATGCAACATGCTCATTTATAAATCTTTTTAGACTATGTGTGTCTTGGCCGACTGACTACATTTGGAGAAAACTGTAAATTTGTTTCTTTGCCAAACTATTTAAATATAATTAATAATTTTAAAATGTCCAGGCTTTTAGGAGCAGCAACTCTTGAGTAGTACAGATTTCATTTAGTTCTCTGCCATCCACCATGACAAACACCTCCCAACCAACCAACTAGCCAACTAACCAAAAGTTATTACTTTAATAGTTATTACTTTGTCTTCTTATTTCATCTGAAATAACACTCTCAAGTGTTACGCTGCAGCTCAAAGTCTGTACAAAAAAAACAGCCATGTGCAGCTTTTCCCACTGATAACCCCTCCATAACAGACACCTGCTCCCACTGAGAGAGCCAATCAGAGCGCTCCAAAAAAACTGTTCCCAAAACTGGAAACTGGTATCCATATCTATAGGATGGAAAGTTCCAGATGGTAAATTATGTTCCCATAAACACAAAGTATGCTCATTCATTTATGACCTTGAACTTTGTCATTTGAAGGTTAGCTCAGTTAATAGCCTAAAGAATGCAAATGTGGCAATACGAGATGACAGAAGTTATGAGTATTATAATAATAATAACCTACACCGATCAGGCATAACATTATGACCACCTCCTTGTCTCTACGCTCATTGTCCATTTTATCAGCTCTACTTACTATATAGGTGCACTTTGTATTACAGACTGTAGTCCATCTGTTTCTCTGCATACTTTGTTAGCCCCCTTTTACCCTGTTCTTCACCCCCATGGACCCTCACAGAGCAGGTACTATTTGGGTGGTGGATCATTCTCAGCACTGCAGTAACACTGACGTGGTGGTGGTGTGTTAGTGTGTGTTGTGCTGGACATACTTGGTATCTGAGGTTTGCTTGTTAAGTTTTGTATTTGAGCTACAAGGCTAATGTAGATAGAAATAACAAAAGCTTACACATCCTCAGTTAACATTGTGCTGACTGCATGCCTGAATCATCACACAACTGGAGAAAGAGCCATGCAGAAGCCTACATTTTGTCCATGTGATAGATAACAGCATAACAGTGACAGAAACCATAAACTCAAGTCTATCAAGTTTACTTAACAACTCGACTCAACTTTGATTCACCTCATAGTTCTAGTACGACACTAAAGATCGTGGCACACCAAACCTGTTTTGACTGAATGCATTTTTCAGAGGAAAATTGTGCAGTTTAGATTTTCTGCTAAACTAAATTATGTGGGATGGTAAAGTTAGTGAAGGAAAAGTCAGGGCCACAGAAATGAGACAGAGGGAAAGTAATCAAACCAGCAGCTTTAATGTTTATTTATGGCCTTATCAACTGGCATGTAGACCTGTGAGGTCATGTGTCTTTCTGTAGTTGACGTCATGCCCATATTAGGAATTCTGGGTTTAAGCTGGATTTCTCTACAGCAAAAATGAACAGGAGTTTTGAAAATTGCTGCCATCATGCACTGTTGTAAAGAAAAAGGCTCTAATCTAATCCAACAGTCCTAGTATATAGGCTTTAATACTGTGTATTTCCCCTGCAGCTATTGGTATATGTGCTAAAGATTTAGTCAGGACATAGACATTCTGTTGCATACAAGGACACACCTACAAAAGACATTCCGTTGTAATTCAGGAAACACATGACGAGTCGTGTGTATCTGTTGGATACACAGATCAATCAGTAGTTGAGGTAGACATCTGCTGTGATGAGACATTTATGAGCTCTGCAATTTTAAATGAGGAAAAATATAAAGAAAATATGCAAAACTAAGGTAAAAGAAAAATACTTCCACACTTGCATGCAGTAAGATTCATGTTTTCACTCTGTACCAGTCTCATAATTCAGGAGAATCCATTGTCATTCAGAGGAAAAATGTACGTAGGGAAAAAAATCTATTGAGTTTGGTACATTTTTGTTTACCACAGGGCATGAAAATGATCATTTTAAAAAATCTCATTTCTTTTTTTCATACACAAACCCAACTTAGACCCAGAGTCCCTAACATGGGCATGACGATACTACTTCAGTGGTCTATTGAAGCAAAAACTTAGGTCAGCTTACCCACATAATAGAAATAATTTATTCTGTTGCTATGCTAACTCTCATCCCTCAGGCTGCTGACGGACATGGTGCCCCGCATGAGACAGACCAGACACTACGAACGCTTTGAGTAGGACACAGTCGGCACAGCAGAGGGGCGCAGAGAACGGACCCTGTCCGCCCACATGCACTGTTGTAGAGGCTCTCCCGAAGAAGGAAAACACCCACACAAGCGCGCACACACACACACAAACACACACACATACATTACGTATATATATGTATATGTAAAAGTGTGTGTGTGTGTGTGTATAGTATCACACATAAAAACTGCACAGTGCCTCATAGCAAACTCTACATGATCTATCATCAACAGCATCTCTCAGAGAGGAGGAGGACGAAGAAGAAAAAGGTAGAGGAGGCCTAAAGAGATGAAACAAAATCATTCTTTGCGACTCTGTCTATGGAGTGGGCTGGAGGATTTGTCTCAGCTGCAGCAACACACCTCCTTAATGTTATGGAACTACTGGGTGTGTTTGTATTTAGCAACTATTAGTTCATCCATCCATCGTTTGTGAAGCCAACGTTGACACAGTAAAAATACACCTGCACTCACACGTTCATCATGCATGACTGGAGAATACCTGGGAGTTCACTGGAGAAAGAGAAGAGAGAGCCCAAGAAATGGTCACGGATACAGATATGTTTAGCATCCATTCATCTTCAACAGGACCAGCTGTTGAAAAAAGCTTAATTGCCATTAGCAAGAAACTCATCATGTTTCTTTTCTTGGATCTGATTATTATGAGTGTATTTAAAAGAACAATCCAGCATTTTTCAACTTAAACTCCATCTGCAGCATCTGTATCGTATTCTTGATTACTGTGAAGAATAATTTTTATGCATTCCTCTTAAAAATAACAGAAAACGCAAAATACAGTAGGTTTTACACAGATTAATACAAGACTACAAAGGCTTTTCAATGGCAAATCACCATTGACTGTAAATACAGTCCTGTACTAGGTTTAATCTGTATGTCATGCTTATCCAGTGTTTCTTCTGAAAGCAAAGGTTTTCATGTTTAATTACCTTACTACCCTTGTTATTAGTTCTGGATCACAAAAGCCACTCCCACTGGTTCAAATGGTATTGGTGGTCCATTTTTCAAGAGAACATACAGGGCTGTGGAGAAGGGCTACTACACTGGAGAGCTCAGCTCCAACACATGGCTCTAATATGCAGTTGCCCCTGAAGGCCTTCATTACCTGGTGTTAGGGTTGGAGCTAAACTCTGCAGAGTGGTAGATCTCCAGACCCAGGACTGGGAACTCAATGATTAAAGGTGTTCGTACATAAAGCTCTAAATCTGTATAATTTGTTGTTTTAGAGATGGAACTAGTTTTCCAGATGATAGAATCTATAGTAATTCATCACCAGTGAACTAGTGAGGTGGAGTTTTCACAGGGGAGTGTGTTGAAATTTGCAGCAGTAGTAAGTGACAGATAGTGATTAGGTTGAAAACTGCTGGAATATTTCTTTATCCCACGTGACACACGTGAGATTTCTACCTCTTTTTTTGCAGACGTGGTGGTTGCCGTCATGTCGTAAACTACAGTGATGATCCTTCAGCACATACAGTTTAGTTTAAAACCAAACTTCAAGTCAAATGAAATTGTGCACAGGAAACGGAGCACACTTACTGAGTACAGTCGGTACACTGTCAGCAGTCTCCTCGTATTTAAAGCACCACTGCACCGCAACACTTAGAATAGCACAGCTGTAGTGCAGTAAAGTAGCACAAACATTACTTAATCATGTTCATAGTACAGTCACACTTCAATATTTATGTACTTGATGTAAAAATTTGGAGAAATATGTGCCGATGGACTTTCTATACATTTTCAGTTCTGAAGAAATATTGTTATCAATGTTGTATTCATTGTAAACATTGAGATTTAATATGGAATATCAACTTTTTGTGCAGGAATCGATTAATAACTCATGTACATACTCACAATAGTGAATGTATCAATAGTAGGTCGAGAAGTTGGACGTACACATTAGAGCAGTACTGTTGTGTTATGTTTAGGGATAAATCTGTGAGCAGTTCTTGTTTTCTGTATCGTCACATACGTCATACAAATGATCTGAACGAGAGGGTAAACGTACATAATATGTACAGAAATGTTCAAACACTTCTGAGTCTGTTTTCTGGGCACATGTTAAAGGTGTGCTCCATACAAAACCTGTAATTTAGTATGTGCTACCTTACTGTGTGGTCAGTTTTGAGGACTTGAGTCAGCAGTTTGAGTCACTGGGCACGCTGTAGGTAGAGGAAACAAGGTTGTGAATTAACTGCTAATCATGTGACCTGAATTCAAACTTATGAAATGGAAACCAGTCTCACCATCTACTTCATAATGTCCACTCTATAGGTGAACAGTTACAGACTGTAGCTCATCTGTTGTCATGCACAGTTTGTCAGCCCTCAAAGTCATCATTGGTCACTTTCTGACCAGAAGACCACTGTTGAGTTGATATTAGAATTCTGTTTCCAAAAAAGTTGGGACGCTGTGCAAAATGTAAATGAAAACAGAATACAATGGTGTGCAAATGATTTAAACCCTATATTTCATTGAAAATAATACGAAGGCGACATATGTTGAAACTGAATTTTTTTCTTTTTTTTAAATATATGCTCATTTTGAATTTGATGTCAGCAACACCTTCCAAGTTGAGACAGGGGCATGTTTACCACTGTGTTTCATCACCTCTTCTTTTAACACTAAGTGTTCGGGAACTGAGGAGACCGACTGCTGTAGTTTTGAAAGTGATGTGTTTTCCCGTTCTTGCTTGATACAGGATTTCAGCTGCTCAACAGTTCAGGGTCTCCTTTGTTGTGTTCTTCGTTTCATAATGCAGCAAATGTTTTTAATGGGTGACAGTAATTGACTTCAGGCCGCGCCCAGACTCTTCTACTATTGAGTCATGCCTGGAGTAACACGTATAGAATGTGGTTTGACATTATCTTACTGAAATAGTCACGGCCTTCCCTGAAAAAGACGTCATCTGGATGGCAGCATATGTTGCTCCAAAACCTGTATATATATCAATCAGCATTAATGGTGCCTTCACAGTTGTGCAAGTCAACCATTCCATGTGCACTAAAGCACCTCATACCATCACTGATGCTGGCTTTTGAACTGTGCGCTGATAATGAGCCGAATGGTTCCTCTCCTCTTTAGTACAGAGGATGCGCTGTCCATGATTTCCAAAAAGAATTTCAAATTTTGATTCATCAGACCACAGGATACTTTTCCACTGCCTCAGGCCATCTTAAGTGAGCTTGGGCCCAAAGAAGACGGTGGTGTTTCTAGATCCTGATTATATATGGTTTCCTTTCTGCATGGTAGAGTTTTAACTTGCATTAGTGGATGCAGTGACAAACTGTGTTCACAAACAGTGGTTTTAGGAAGTGTTTCTGAGCCCATGCAGAGATTACCTCTTGACAATCATGTCAGCTTTTAATGCAGTATTGGTTTAAAGCCTTGTCTCTTTCATACAGAGATTTCTCCAGATTCTCTGAATCTTTTACTGATGTTATGTACTGTAGATGATTAAATCTCAAAGTTCTTTGCTATTTTATGTTTAGAAACATTATTCTTGAATTGTTGCTGTATTTGCCTGCACAGTCTTTCACACAGTGCTGAACCCCTCCTCATCTTTACTTCTGAAAAACTCAGCCTCTCTGAGATGCTCTTTTCTCAATCATGTTATTGACCTGTTGCCAATCAACCACCAGGTGTTTTTTTTTTATAAACATTACACAACTTTGCCAGTCTTTTTTTGTTGCCCTGTCCCAAATTTTTTGAAATGTGTTGCTGGCATCAAATTCAAAAACAATTAAACTCAGCTTCAACATTTGATATGTTGCCTTTGTACAATTTTTTTTATTAAATATGGGGTTTCCAAGATTTGCATTGCATTCTGTTTTTATTTACATTTTGCACAGCGCCCCAGCTTCTTTGGAAACAGGGTTGTATTTGGGTTGTGGAGCCGATGAGTACGTTTTTGTCACAGCTCTCACATTTTATGGTAGCTGTCATTATTTGTTATGTATTACACATGAATGTATGTATCTTGTATGGAGCACACCTTTTCTACACTGTTGGGGGAATTACCAATTGAAAATGCTAGAGATGGTACAATACCACTTTTAAATTTCTGATATCGATGCTGATATTGAATTCTTGAGTATCGACTGATGCCGATACCAGTCTGATATTTTGTGTATGTAAAGTGCCAATTGACCTGCTAAATTATATGAATACTGTTTATCTGTTAATAATGACACAAATATATATTAATTGACAATGTCCATTTGAGTGCTGGAAATTCAGGATAGATTTGTTAAAGGATTGGACTGGACAGTATTTTTTGCCACTCTGATATCCCATCCAGCATTTTCAGCTGATATCAGCCCGAAACTGGTATTGGATCACTGCCATCTTTAGAAAAGTCAGTAACACTTTACTTGACCTCTGCTACATTGACACAGCCATGCCATAAACATGCCATATACTGTCATGAACTGTCAGATTTTGTTGTGTTGTCTTTACTAGTAATTGTCATGACAGCTGCCATAAAGTTTTATGTTATGACAGCTTAAAAAACATCATGGCGTCTGTCATAACTACTGGTAGTAGAAACACAAGACCGTATTACATCTGCCATGACGTTTATGGCATATTATGTCAATGCTTAATCTAGGACGAAAATGCATCCAGAAAACTGGCCCACTGCAAAGGTTATGCTGTCACAGGCCTTACTCTGGACCCTCGAGAATGTGAAACGTGATGTTTATGAAGTATTTTGTAGACTGTTGTAATTCAGGCTTTTTAAGCAGGCTCTTTGATTGTATATTTGGAGCTCTTTTCCAGGTCTCTGAGCGTCACATGTAGCAAATATAACGTTACTTAGTGGAGGTGGGTGCACTAGTGATAGTAATTAGTAACCCTTTATGTACAATACAGTGTGACTTGCATATTATGGTAATAGAAATGCACTGCATTGCTCTTTGGTGTAAATCCTTTGCGACTTGTATACTGTATGCAAAGCAATGTCATAGGACTCATTAGTGCAGATGTATATTTTGGTAGGGATTTAGCTGTGCTCCAGTACTGTTTGACTGCTGAGTTCTTCAGCCCTTGTCAGAAACACCGGCTCAAACACACGCCCATGCAGACGACATCTTTGCTTTGTTGATACAGCAGGTTAACCACTTATACGAGTGTGGTTAGGACTTATGCTGTCAGCCTAAAGGCATTTCTGCATGGCTTAAACTGTCACGAAAACGCCACATAGCACGGATGCTGGCAAGGAGCCTCTAGGACTCGGTTCCAGTGTACATAATTAAATGATTATAAGGCCGACGGGCCACTCTGTGATCAGAACAGGTGTGTGTGATGTATAAAATGTACATACTGAAAAGCTTTAGAGTGCACAGTCACAGCTTCCTGTCGTCACAGAAAAGTTTATTGAAAAATAAAGATATATCCTGCTCATCAAAAAAAACAATGAAAACGAAACATTTATCCTTTTTTTGTCTTCATTATGGTCTCTATTAATAGATCTCTTCTAGCAGTGTCCACATAAAATGGCCCAAAGGAAATGAAAGATTGACAAGTTAGCAAATGATGAGTGGATGACAAAAAACAAACAAAACAAAAAAAAGGCAAAAGAAAGAAAAAATTACCAGATACCAACCTCAGGATCATTTGCATTTATTTCCAACAGTACAACAATACTTACTGGAAGGGTAATTACTGACCATAATGCTTTTCTAATCCTTTTTTTTAAATGAAGCTTTAGTGACTGACCTGTGGAAGGCAGCGCAGATGATCAGTTATAAACACAAACCCCTCTTATCCACAAGTGCACCTTTCATATTCTATTCCAACAGCTGTAAACACATCTGCATGATCCTACTAAACTAGATATTTGAGTATTTTCATCACCACCACCAAAACATTTGGCAAAACTAGTTTACTCACAAACGTTCACTATCCTTTGCTGTCTCTATTAAACAGCGGTGTCTGGTTAGCTACCATTCCTCCATCCGCACGGCTCTCTATCTCTGTCTATCTAGACACAAATGAATCTTACATCCACTAACCATCAGAAGGCACATCATGAAAAGAACGTAAAATCAGTAGCTTGGCGTTAACATCGTTATACACAAACAGATCTCAATGAAGGAAAACAACAAAAAGTGAAGCTGAACGGCTGAAGTCGTCAAATAAGTTAATAGTACGCGGAGAACTCGGAGAGACCCATCTGTATTTACAAATGTGCAAACGCGTAAAAGGAATCCGACATCAGAGACGACGCTCATGAGGTTCTTGCTGGCTTTTTAAAACCCAAACCAAACCAGGAGTGCGGTGCTTGTCCAGGACAGGGACACTAAACAGAAAAGAATGATATGCTCTGCAACATTATATCATATATGGTGTCACTAAATCATCCACTGTGCTTTGGAATTTTATGGACCTTTTAAAATCATTTCTGAAGTAATTTTTGTAAAAATTACAAATTACCAATTACTACTGACAATATAATTTTGACTTCTATGTATTTGTACTGTGCAAAAGTTTGAGACCACCTACATTTTTTTTATTTCAAAACAATTCCTTTTAAGTTATTAATTTTGAGGAGATTTAAGATAATCCATAAGGGAGGGGAAAAAATTGAGTTAAAAAATATAAAGATCTATAGAAAATGGGACTCCTAATAACTGTGCAAGACCTGGTAGACCACCAAAATAGTCACCATCACACAAACAGTGAGATCAAATATCCACAATAACTTCAGATTTGAAAAACAATCCACACATATTTCTGTCCACCCTGTGACTAAAAGCTGTCAAGAAAAAGTGCAAATCAAGCGAAGAAGCTGCTGATATTCTTAGAACAACCAACTGACCACCCCAGAGACCAGACCCCAGCATCGTTTTTGGGACAACATTGAACGTGAGAGGCAGAAAATGCAACCAACTTCTAAGACTGAACTTTGGGGGTGTGAAAAAAACATCCCTACAGATTTCCTTGAACAACTGAAAGCAGGTCCCCTAAAAATAACTGGAAGCTGTCATAAAGGCAGAGTGAACACAATTACACAAATGAACGGTAGTCTCTGACTTCTGCACAGTAATTTGTGTATATATATATATATATATGTGGTCCTGGACAACCACCTGCACTTAAACACACTTTAAATTACTCTGATAAATAATATTTCCCTCTGTCAAGAAAAAAGTCACTTCTCTATAAATAAAAAATAAAAATCACCAGAGATAAAAGATCTGTATATAAAATAAATTAAACAAACAAAAAACTATCATTTGAAAACCCTTATGAACAATTTTACAGTGTTACATCTGGTGTTACATAATCAGTAAATATGTTAGGATAGTGCATTTTCATTCCAGAAAAAAAAATTTAGGGTGATTTTGACATTTTTGCAGGCAAATGAAGAATTCAAGAATTCTGACCTGAAATGATGTTAAAAAAGCAACAGAAGAGTAATCATGTTTTGTCAGAATTTAAAGTGGCAATCTGTTGCGTAATATCTACACGTGTGGGTTTTTAAATGCTTTACAGAAATAAAACATCAGTATTTGTCTTAGAGACCAATCTGTGATGGAAGTGTATGTTGAAATTACGGTAGCTGGCGTAATTTGAACATAATTCTTTTAAAGTCAGTGATGTGAAATACTGGTGTCACTGCCGGCCAGCTCTGTGTGTGTGTGTGTGTGTTAGTTTATACTGGCTGGTTTTTGGTGTGTGTGTATGTGTGTGTGTGTGTGTGTGTGTGAGAAAGAGAATGATTAATATTATTTACTGGCAGTTGTGTTTTTCGGTGCTGCAGTGATGAGTGTGTAGCACCTCTCATCACCGACAACCTCTAATGTGTGCTGTAATGTATGTGGGGGGGGGCAGATCTGTATACCTGTAATAGCAACACCACGTTTCTTGCAAAAGTTCTCACTAGCACAAGGCTAGAGAGCGTATTCACGGTTCAGTAAATAAAACAATCCACCATGCACATCATGGCAGATCGAAGGTCAGGAAATTTAAAGGAATACTCCAGTATTCAAGCTAATATTTATCTACATCATACAGCTGATTACCACTGACAGTGTTTCTGCTGACTTTAAACTCACTTACAATGGAAGCCAATGGGCAGCTGCTGAATTCCAAACGTGAAACGTGAAATCACAATCATTACACTTCAGCAGTTCAGGTGTTAGACTGAGACAGATTGAGACATTTCAACGGTTTTCACACATAGTTTGTCAGCTACAGTTGGGGTTTCTGTGACGCTGTATCTTTTTCATTGAATTGGTTGGTTTTTACAATGCAAAGGCCAAAGTGCACCAAATTATAAATGTGGCTGATTGGTCCGAAATTTGTCTGGGATATAAGCACTATTACTTTCACAAAGCCTGAATGACCATTTTAATCTTTCATTAGCCTATCACAGTAGTAAACCTGATCTATCACATATTTTCTCAATATAGTACTATAGTACAGCACTGTGCAAAAAGCTTAAGCATATAAGTGCATTATTTAAAACTATTTATCTTCCCAATAAGTTTGTATTTTCTTAGCTGATAAAAACAGTACCATTTTATCTAGCCTGAAGAACAAAGTTTGCTTTAGCACACATGATTTAACAAAGAGCTGATTATCCAAATCATGTATTGGGTTGGTAACCATTGAACAAACTCACATACATAAAATTACTATTTATCATACTCATATTTTTGTATTTATTGTAATATTGTTTTACTGCCCAGATGAACAGCTTTCTAAAATGTCATTTTCTCAGGTGTGTAAGACTTCTGCAAAGTACTGTAAAATGTATTATCCTACCCCTTCTATTAAAACAGAGATGCTTAAAAAGCATGACATCTGCTTCTTTATGACTGAATGCTTTGTCAGTTCAAATTTAACCAATCAAGTCTCTGATGCTTGGCCAAAAAAACATGCCATGACCCATGTGCCAAATTTAAATGAAATAGCTTTGCTATGATTTTATTGCGCGTCTGCCATTAGCAGAGGCACGTGCTGCAAGAACCATGTGAGCATCAGTCAAAAGTCAATTGTTAAAAGAGGTAAACTATGAGGACAGTACAGTGATCATTCATGACCTTATCCAGTACACATCAATGAGCAATCAGGAAGAACGCAGATTTGATTCCTGACTTCTTAGTAATATCCAGCTGTTGTCTGAATGTGTGACATTCCATCAGAAGCACACCTGATTTAATTTAATGAAGGACTGATTAGATAAACTAGGTATTGGACGATAACTAAATACTGGCCTTCCTCAATGAGAACTTTGGAAATGGTTAAGCTAATACATCCAGGTCAAATCATAATGGCCTGTTTATGTGTTTCTGTGTATTTATTCTAATGTTGGTGTTTTTCCACAACAACTGCCTGCTGGCTTTACTTATGAGTGAGTTTCGTGAGTTTTGTAATGCACATGCTGCGAATGCAGTAGATAAAGATGAGGTTGAAAAACCAGAGTATTCCTTTAAAGTGTACGCGTGTGTGCTTGTACGTGTTTGAGCACTAAGCGCTGCAACACCTCTATACATATTCAAAACTAGTATCTACACTTGGATGGCCCTCTCTCCAGGCAGCCTGAAAAGAAGAGCTACAGTGAAAAGTCTAGAAGCTTCCTTTCCACAAACACACACACTCTGCGTGCTGTGTTTTCCGGGGGGTCCGGAACTTCCAAAAACGTTCCTGCCCGGTGAGGTTGGTCCCGTGATGTCGGCGAGCACAGAGAAAGGGAGAGAGAGGGAGAGAGGAGACCTGGGGAGGAGAGAGAGAAAGAAAATAATGCAGCACTGCAGTAGCATCTCCACACAGGCAGGGGGCAGTGTGGAGATTCCCTGCAACTCCTCTTCAAGTATTTCAGGCCTTATCGGGTTCTCCGAGTCACAGAAAGATTTGAAAATGAACAAAAAGAAAACGTTCAGTCCAGCACTCAGTCTCTCCTCTCTTTTTTCTCTCTCCCTGTTTTGTCTCCTTCTGTCCTTTCATTTTCAGAGCGATCATTTTTTTCTGTTCAAGGCGTTGAGGTGGAAACGATCATCCTCAGGCCCGTCATGCCAGGTCCCAGAATGTGTGGTTGTACATTTGACTGTCAGTCTTAATTTCTACAGTACTTCCGCTCCCCTTCCATTTCTGTATAAGCTATACAAATGCAATAGCTTAATCGGCTAATGTCCGCCATGATCATCTGTGTAATTATATTCAGGGAAGCGTTTCAAATGTCCCCATAACGTTCCCTTAACGTCTCTGTAACGTCCCCTACAAAACATATAACTGCTCACATTTTTAAATTTCTCTTTTTCTTCATTCGATTTCTTTGAATTTCTTGTCTTTAAATAACTCAACTGCGAGATTAAACGCACTGTCCCCCCTGCAGAGAAGTGCGAACTGAATTCAGCCCCATGATTTCACTTGCTTGTCATAAATGGCCTTTAAGTCGACTGGCTATAGTATACAGGCAGCATAAATACCCATATATATGTCACACAGAGATGAACTACTGGAGTGTTCTTTGGCCATCAGCAGGCAGTGTGCCTCCGGCTGTCCCTGTGGCATAGGCAGCATCACACTGATGTGGTTGAGACTGAAGATTGACGAGAAGAAGGGGAATTCAAACAGGAAACGCTATACACAGCCCACCACCAGAAGCTGTACACAAACAGACAGGAGCTGCATCACAGCTGTGATCCTCAGTTCAGGGGGAAACACTGGAGTGCGTGAGTGTGTGTGTGTATGTGTGTTATAAGCAGCCTTTGCAGAGCGCAACCTGGCCCTTCATGTAGTCCCTGCAGGGGCAGATGCGCTGTAGAGAGTGATGTGCTCCGGCGCAGCTGAAGAGAAGCAGGTCAGACTGCAGCACGCAGTGACGTGCTGAAGCACTGAAGGCTGGAACCACGATGTCGCCCACACTCTCCACTGTTTTACACTCCACCCCAAACCTGCAGAGACACATGAGGTGGAAGGAGGAGGGAAATAACATATCTTTACTGTGCTGATGAAGTCAAACTAACACAGCACTCATCATCAAAGAGAGCAACAAAACTACCCTCTATAAGGCATAAGAATGTGATGACATGACAGAACTCAAAAATGACTTCTTTACAAACACTGAAGTTCCTGCTAAAGCCTGAGTGGACTGATAAATCAGTGTGATGAGCTGGTTATTAATCTCAGGTTTTTTAAAACTCCTTTTAAGGATGATGGAACTGAACAGTTTACTCAGTAGTAAACATGTTCACAAGTGATAACCTTAGGATCTGTGTTGTGCTGGGCTTGTGTTAAAACTTGCATATGTTTGCATATTGCATATAATTATTATTACTGTTAATAATCATATTAATATTGATAATGTAATTATTATTGCTACTGAACATGATCAGCACTAAACTTCACTATTTTTATTTTTGGCAACAAGCTTCTCTATAGTTATGCCAATAAACCCATCTTAAACTGAACTGAACTGTGAGAGCTATAGACAGAGAGAGTAAAGGGAGGATGAAGGGAGAGAAGAAAGAAAAAAGAGAGAAGAAAAGTTGTGTGAGAGGAGAAAGTGTGTGTGTGTGTGAGGGGGAGAAAGGTAGAAAGAGGGAGAGAGACAGAGAGACAGCGATATAAATCTCTGGTCTTCTCTGGACTCGTAGACATACATACTTGATGTGTGCGTTACCGGTAAAGTCTACAGGGCCATAGGGCTCTAATTCTGCCATTCATTTAGGTCATAAGGGGGTTAACATGGACCTTCAGGGACCTTTCAGAGAGACTGTTTGGGCTGCGTCAGCAGATTTTGCTCTTGGAATTACGAGAAACTATAGCAAAATGCTTGTGATGACAACCAAACGGGAGAAATTCCAAAAAAATTATATTTTAGCCAAATAAAAAATGTATTCCAAAGAAAGTAATACATAATTCATGTACAAATCTCACTCTGAAGTGATCAGCCTTTTCATAGGCTTGCAGCCTTGTGGCCTTGCAGATCTGACATGATGACGTAGAGTACTACAGCGAACGTCACAGAATGTAGGCCCAAAGGCCGTGAGAACGGAGGCCATGGGCCGGAGTCCGGAGATTTAGTTTGGGCAAGGGAAAGAGACAGGTCAGTAAAGTAGACGGTGTCACCCCCATGTGGTGTAGAGTTGTGTTACAGAAACAATATTACAGAAACAAGAGAAAAAAATGCTACAAACATTAATCACACACAACTGGCACTGCACTGCCTTCTGCTGGAATATGTAAGCATGGCAGGTGACATCATATTTTAGTACTGTAATGAGCTCACTGAACCTGTAGCCTTCATTTTTTTGTCACTGTCTGCTTTGACTGAATGTATGTGTTTGTTTGTCTGTGTGCGTATGTGCAAACTGACCTGGCCAGGTCCTTGTCCTTGTTGAGGTGCTGGAAAAAGGATGGCTCACAAATGAGCTGCTCCTCCTGACACACCTGCTTACAGGATTTCCCCACTGGAGCCAGTTTAACCTGCAGAGCACTGAGCGGAGGCCACATCACCTGACCATGACAGAAATCCTGCAGAGAGAGACAACATATGATGATATTTCATTTTTCTGAGGTTTGGGAAACTGTTTGGAATAAACAAAACACACCAGCAAAACAGTAGTGCCACTGAAAATCTGAGTACAATCATCTTTTTTTAATTCATGCTTTTTTTTTTAAGACAAACAAATATAAGAAGGTCACAGTGATAAAATTGATTAAAATAATAACATCAAACACAAAAATACACAGATGTACCTGGTTCTCTATGAAAGCGTTGACTCTCTGCAGCATCCCTTCACAGGTGAACTCATACGGCAGATACGGCTCAATCTGGCCAAATACAAAATTTCACACAGTTACATTTTCAATCTCTGTTCTTTTGAAGCAATCAGCACCAATGAGCTACTGCAATAACTGTAAAAGATATAAGTGTATGCACAAACGTCAGTGATGTATGTTATATGCGTGTACCTTCTGGCTGAGGATGCCTCTAATAGCTCTCTCCACTTCTGCAGGGTTCTCTATATCCACAGTCCAGACGTGCGGCTGCCCAATATATACTTCAGCATACGGGTGCTGGGAGGTCAACTAGAGTAACATAGAATAAACAAATTCTTAAAACCACCACAATTTAATGACCAAACCTCCAAAATGGAGCCAGACAGCTGTATAAAGCAAAACAAACAAAGCAATTATCACATTATCTAATGATCAATCTAAATCTCCATCAACAACAGATCAGCAGAGGGGAACCCTCAGGCCTTCCAGACCTTTAGAGAAGGCCTAATGAAAACACACATCTTTAATTTTTATTTCATAGAATCATGATGCTTGTATTTCAACTCTGCAAGTATCTTATTTCATTGTTAAGTTTTGGTTGGAAATAAAAATTATGATCTTGAAGTTTGTAAGTAAAAACATAACACTAGCAGAAATTAGGATTATCATTTAGTTGGTTTTAATTTACTTATTTTTCATTTTTTAACCAAGTTTTGACACTTGTGTCCCAAACTGAAGGCCAGGCTCTAAAAGTCAGGCCCCCTTTTCAGTACCGGTTTTAACAAGTCCTCGCCCACTCGGCCTTTTTTTATTCCCTCAGGGGAATCCCTGGTGCCATCTTCAGGGCTGTTCCATTACTTAATTAGCTGAATTGAAGGGTGTTAGATGAGCCCTCAGAGAGGTCGACTTTAGCAGCAGAACTTCCCAGAAATCATTGCAACCTGACGCATTTCCCTTTGCAAACCCAAAACTAATGGGGAACAAAGCTGTTTCTAAGCTACAGCAGTAAACTACTTTAAAATGCTTAACATTTCAAAACCATACCATTCGATTTGCTGGGCTCTGAGTCACAAATTACAAATAATTTTAAGAATTACATGGCTAACAATAACAAAAGGAAAGAAATGTCACCACAGTTCTACTCCAAGTTTATTGCCAGACAAAACAATTAATCACACACATTGTATTTGTTACACAGACTTAAACGTTTTGCATTGTAAAGTTTGAAGGCTAGCTAATTAGTTCCCTGAGGCCTACTTGCCGAGGGCGAGTGTGTTTAGTTTGAATAATCCTCACTGTCACCTCCTCTCCTTTTTCTGCGAATGGCCACCTGTGTAACACAGGTGTGACACACATCCGAATGGTGAGTTGAAGTGGGTGAGGTAAAGTTACCAAAAGAACTGAAATGGGGCTACGGTCTTTCCTGAAATCCTCTAATGAGTCTGCTGTCCATCAGGGCCAATAACCTCACTGGACCCAGCCTTGTTGCTCCAGGACCATTGCCCATAAGTTAATGCATCTGATTTGTGGCAGTCATGGTCAGCGGTCTCTAACTGTACACTAGCAAGATGGAGCTGCAAGGGTGGGTCCGGTTAGAGACTGTTAGCCATGGGCTGATGCATCTGATTTGTGGTAGTCATCCTCTGGCTTTTCATCAGTGCTTGGTTTCTGACAAAAGAGCCGCTCTTGATTTGATATTTTTGGGTGGTGGACCACTCTCAGACAGTGACACTGATGTGTGTAAAGACGCCAGCAACACGTCAAAAGCATGCCACTGCTGATTACTGCCCACCTCCCAAATAATATCTTGTCAAGAGCGGTCCTGTGGTCAGAAACTGATCAATGATAAACGGGTTAGAGGGTAACTGACTAATTATGCATAACAACAGATGGACCACAAACTGTACTTGTACACCTATATAGTGACCTATAAAGTAGGCGGAGCTCATTAAATGGCCAGTGAGTGGAAACACAAAGTAGGTGTTTTTTTTTTGTTTTTTTGTTTTTTAAAGTGGCCAGTTAGTCATCACTGTCCAAAAAAAAACTCCAAAAACCCAAAACTTCCTTTACTTTGTTTAAGTTCATACAAAAAGGTTTTATTCCAAGCAATTTTGAAGCATTTCTATTGGCCCATTCCTCATGAAATATTCACACAATGTGATGGGCTGCTGCACTCAAATGATGTAGACAAATAAAAATCAACAAAGATGGAGATATTTCTTTTCTTTTTTTGGACAGCAGTGATATGCGTTTGTATGCATGTGTATGAAAAAACAGGTACCTCTCTTAGAGTGGGCTTGCCCTTGAAGAAATCTGTGTTCTTGCTGCTTTTAGGTGGGTTAAACTTCGGGTTCAAGAAAGCACAGCCATTGGCTATAGCCTCCAGAGGGGCAGGGCCTTCATAGGGGAAGGACAGTCCCACGAACAACTGAGGAGGGAAAAAAAAAAAAACATCAGAATTTCCATAATGCAGCAAATGTTGTTTTCATGCTACATTTAGCGAGCATGTCTTCAGTCATCCAATAGCAAAGGCTGAATGCAAACATGGCTTACACTGAAAGCAAACTATCTGGCAAAAATGACAAGCTTGCTTTCAAAACAATCTCCCTTCCCCAGGGGAACAGCTAATTCCATGGCTGTCGATTCATTTCTCCAGGCAGCATCTGGGAAACAAGGCAACATTAACATGGTTGGTGTAGATATGCCCTTATATCTCTGTGAGCCAAGTACATTTTAGTATTTTGCTTGCCTGGTTTTGAAATTCTGAAGCTCTTCAGGTCATTATTTTTACATTTTATGGTTTTCCTTTTACCACTTTGAAGGATTTCCTGCCACTGATAGACCACAAGTTTTTCTAGGCTTGAGACAATTCAGAAAAATCTTCAGTGCAGTGGCCATTTTCACACATGTGGATGAGCTACGGTTGAGAAAGCCTAACACAACCATCATAAACTGGACAATACAGATAAAGCAAGAATTGATCATCACAGAATCCTAACAACAAATGCTTTGCTCTTATCAGAACCTTTCAAATCACTTAAGTTTTCAAAGTATCACAGAAATGGTTAACAGTTTTCAGTGGCACAGAAAACTAGCCATTCAGCATATGTATATTTTAATCACTGGGTTCTTAAAAGATTTCAATGGAGACTTCTCTTGTGCTCAAGATATTAGTGATATTTTTATTGGGTTTTTTTTTTGCATTTACAAACTACAAACTATTCCTTTTAACCTACATCTGATCCGTTAATGTTCAAGAAAGGCATATGCACTAAAAATAAAACAAAGTAGGTCAAAGCTGCAGTGAACTGTGTGCTTGGTTAATCAATAATCACAATTTTATTTAACTGGAAAATATAATGAAAACATTTTAACTAGAAAATATCATTATTTTTAGACATCATCCAGGCCAAGTTGCATATAAAAGTTTGGGAACCCTTGGTCAAATTACATGTTTTGTTGATTTTCTAAGTGAAAATATGTCCCATACAGAGAACACACTTCTGCACAAGTTCCTGTTTATTTGCTGAATTTAACATAACAGGAAACAGTAAAACATAACACGTGGTTTTTTCCACCTTGCAAATAAAGCCCAGCAAATAAATAGGACTTGGGCATAAAAATGTGCAGAAACACTGCAAATTTAATTGTGTTCCCTGCAGAAGATGTGTTTACTTATTATTATTTAGAAAATCAACAGAACATGTCATTTGATCAGGGGTGTTCAAACTTTTGCATTTGTCTGTAATTGGGGAAGGAAAAGGTAAAAAGGGCAAAGAAACTGTGACGAAGGCAACAAAACAATTAACAGTGCATAGATTGCGTAGGCCGTTCACAGACATCTTGTTCTCCTCCTCCTCTCCCATGTCTGCTGTTTGAGGGCATCCACCTCCTCTCTAGATCACAGGGCTAATCGCACAACAGACTCTTATTCAGCTCCATGACTTGAGCAAATATTTGAGAAGGCCTAGGCTGTGATGCTTGCATGGGGGGGGCGGCGCTGAAGAGAGCCACAATAATCTGCTTGTGGAAGCACTCAGGCCTCAGGGCCTTTAGCCTAGTGCAGGTCTAAATGCTGGACACTGAGCACAAAGGGCAGTCTGTGCTTCACTGGACAGATGACCACACGTTCACAGCCCAGCAAGTACAGAAGAGGGCCTTCAGGGGGAAAATATGCGAATACACCACAAGGCTACAAAAATACACTTAAAACATGTTCCACGAGACCACACCACACACCACACACACACACACACACACAACTAGGCCTGTACAATAGGCAATGATATTACTACATATTACGCTCATGTCTTGCAAAATGTTAAAAGAATTAACTGCTGAATCAATAATGTGAAATGCCTAAAGTAAGTACACTGCATGAAATGGTTCTTTTTTTTTTGACATTTGTGGACATATTTGATCTTCAGTAAAAGTGCATGAACAGATAAACATATATAACAGAACAAAAAACAGGAAATTTGACTTATTGGAATAATTAATTAAAAAAACAACAAAAACAATATTTTACTGATCTCTGTGTCGGGGTTTTATTGACTGATATGATTGTCTAACTTGTCACACCTGTTAAACTTCAATAAACAGCAGAAATTCATGGTCGTAAATAATAAAAATACTGTAACACTTTTGGTTTCTGTATATCACCTCTTACTCTCACTAATTCTTATTTCTCACTCATTCTCTTTACACTAGATGTTGGAAAAGAGCATTAGTGAGGTCAGGTACTGAATGCCGAATGATTAGCCACTCCGACTCATCCCAAGTGTATTAGATGGAGATCACTTGAGAGAAAACAGTTTCACTGCTCCACAGGCCACTGCTGGTGGTCTTTATACCCATCTAGCTGACACTCGGCATTGCGCATGGTGACCTTTGGCTCATGTGAGGCTGCTCCACAGATGGAGAATATACAAGCTGTGTTTTTGCAATTAAACCCATGTGCCAACAATAGGTTCATCATAAAGTAGCTGAATTCACTAATCAGAAGGACTGTCTGGATACTACTGTGTACCTCTAATAGTGTAGACATTATCAGACATTTTATGACCTTCAACTTCAGACCTCTATTTTAATAGACTTGTAAAGGATCCCTGGATCCCTGATTTATCCATATGCTTAAAAGCTGTAATTTACCAAATACAGATTTTAGAATTACAATTGCTGCCAGCAGGGGGCAGCACAGCTTTAACAGTCCGAAATAAGGAGGAGGTGTGAGGAAGTAAGAAAAAGAAACAGGTGCTATTAATAGCAAACTGTGCTACTGGCTGTACTGAAAGCTACAGCAGAGTGTTGACAGAGAGAGAGAGTGAATGAGAGAGAAAGAGAGAGAGAGAGAGAGAGAGGGAGAGAGCGAGAGAGAGAGAGAGAGAGAGAGAGAGAGAGAGAGAGAGAGAGAATGACCCCTTCCCTTGTAAGGTGAAAATTCACCAAGCTTGACATTAAAATGGCTGCAATAAACGTCACTGGACACAAACGACCTCTGCTCTGCCTGTTTGCTGTGCCCCACAGAGCAATATGCTTGTACTGTAACAGAGGTATGTAAATGGTGAGGAAGGTTTGCTGTGTGAAGCAGTGCGTTTCACTCACAAAAGTGCCTTAAAACCTGTGACCATATATTACATTATCAGCTCTTATCTCAACACAAATGATACCATGTGCAGAATAATCACACCCAGTCATAACCACTAAGATAAAAAGAGAGAATAAGAATGAGAGACAGCGATATATGTAGAGAGACTGAATGAAAGAAAGTGAAGCAGAGAAAGAGGATAAGAGAAAGTGATAGAGCCAAAGATTTCCTCAAAACCTACTACTACATAACTCATCTATATATACACAGCACTATGCAGCACTATGGTCAGAGAGTACCCTTCATTTATTTCATTTCCAGTCAAAACAACCATTAAGGACAATTTATTCTTTTATATTTTTTTTAGGAAAAAGCAGAACATTCACACAGAACCCTCAATGACTAAATATTATATTTTTGTCAGTATTTAATGTCTATCATTTGCCTTTATTACAGCTTCTACTTTTTTTAAAAGACAGTTTTTCAAACAAAATCTGCAGGGATATTTTCTCACACTTCCAAAGTTCAGTCTTAGAACTTGGTTGCACTTTCTGCTTCTCACAAATCAAGCAGAGGAGAAGGGCCTACTTCCCTCAGGGCCTTCTCTGAAGGCCTAATGAAACTAAGAAATAAGACTGTAATTTTACATCATGCTTGTGTTTTAACTCTGAAAGTATTACGAACTTAGCCTTGTTTCATTGTTAAGTTCTAAATGGAATCAAAAGGGTTAAATTTTGAAACACTCAGCAGAATAGTTTTTTTTCTGTGGTAAACTTTCCTATTGGTTAGGACTTTAGAGCTGGAGAGAAGTCCTAAAGCATTACATTAACCATCAGCTTAAGTATGAAGTGACAGAGGAATCTGTGTGTTGATTTCCAGTAGGTAGGACCAATTTCATGAGACAAAAAAAAAAATTCACCCAGGCCTTCTGGAAATGCCAGATACGTCACTGACCGCATACAAGTGTCAGCCTAATCAGTGGGCTGTTAGAAATGGTAAACAGCGGCGGCAGCTCTATACCAGAACACTCTACTGAAAGTGTCACTGTGAAACTGCTACAAGGAAAACTACATGCTAATGTGTCTGTTACCAGTTTCAAGTAAAACACACATAAACAGACAGACAGATACACAGACAAATATCTGTGTATAAATAACGTCCCATAGGGATGGTAGACATAAGCAGTTTTGTAGAGGGGTTATTTCTTTATGTTTTTAACAAAGTTTTGACATTTATGGTCCAGCTCTAACAGTCATGGTTCACCACTGCATCTGAGAAATTCCAAACACAAAGGACCATTCTTCTGAGAACACCAGCAGCTTTTTTGTTATGAGCTGCCAATTTTCTTCGTTTTTGTCTTTCTTTTTCTCAGTAACGGCTTCTTGACAGCTACACGTCCTTTCAGACTCAAGTTTGTTGAGTTGTCTTCTCATAGTGGAAGAATGGACAGAAACACCTGTGAATGTTTTCAGATCTGAAGCAAGAGTGGAGCTTGATTTTCTCCTCCCTTAAAGATGAAAGCTTTTAGTACTGCGTATCTGATGGTGAAAGTTTTGGTGGTCTAGCAGGTCTTGCACGGCTGTTGGGAAGCCCATTTTCTCTGTAACTTATAATCATTTTTGTTCCAGTTTTGCTAACTCTTGTTACTCTAAGAGCTTTAGTAACTCTTGTTTTTTCACCTTGACTTTTTCCCCATCTCATGAAAATTAAATAAATCAAGAGCGGTCTCTTCCTCTTGTTCTCTCACACACATTTCTTCCTAAAATGGCGGCTTATATTTCCATATCCTTATTATAATATGCAAATGACCCTCTGCTAACACTGAGTCCACAATCCGCTCACCTGCATTCATTTGCACACATTTGCATTGCGTGTAATTCACGGCTCTGGGCTGGACAGCGCGGTACTGACACTCATGCAGCTGATTAGAACCTGCTGACATTTGGTATAGTTGTGATGTTATTAACAGCACAAAACAATAGGAAAGTTAAAAAATGACTATTTGTTGTGGGGATGTCCAAGCTCCACATTATTTATTTAGCAGCACTACTGAGCCATACTTCACACAGCAGCAAGACTTAAAGAAACCTAAAGCAGTCTATAAGCTACAAAAGCTTTGACGCTGAGCAGCAGCAGCTGGAGTATTTACAGTATCAGCAGAAGCTGTACACTGTAACAGTACAGGTATATCAGCATGTAATTCTCTGAAGTGTAATTACCTAAAACATGTACATGGAACAGCCCTCACTTCTTGTGCAGCGCACAGCTGGAACAGCTGTTCAGGCAGTTAAAGGTGTGTTGAGAGCTGGGGTAAGGGGTCTTTAATGTTTTTTTTGGGCGTGGGACGTTTGGATGTCTGAGAGATTATCTAGTATTTTACACACACATTAACATGAGCATATGATTTCTAAAAGTATTTGGTTTCTTCAGAACCTTATGTACTATAGGTTTTTATTAATAAGAATGAAACATTTAAAGATAAAATTAGTCATTGCCAATATTTGGTTTTGCCAAATGCTTATGTATTAATCTAGATGGTGAGAGGTTAAAATAGTAACAGCTAACAAGATAACAATAACAATAATAATATGATGAAGAACAACTGTGGTTTTATCAAATAATTTATCAGTGTAATGTCTCCTGCTCAAATATCTAACCTCTGAGCCGAAAACACTAACTCTATCTTATTAATAAACCTTTTATCATTTCTGGGGACCAACTTGGATGTAATTTGAAACATGATCCTCCAGGTTTAAGTGAAAAAGTCTGAGGAGGAAGCCTTATTTAATTCATCAAGAAATAAAAACAATCGGTGATAATTTTCATTCCCCAGTGGGGCGTATAAAGACACCAAGTGAAACCCCAGAGACAGCAGTGAATGAGGGACAGCGAGGGAGAAAGTGAAAAAAAGGGAGAAGGAGTGATAGAAGGAACGTTGGAGGGTACACCGAAAAGCAGATGTAAATACTCAGGAAGAGGCTGAGGAGATTAGAAACTTCAAAGATTTTTTTTTTTTTAAGAAAAGAAGTTCATAACTTCACACACAGGAGGCGTTCTTGAGTTTTGAAGCTCCACCACACTGAGGACTCTGTGCTATTAGTGAGCTATCTAACTCTGAATATCCAACTTATAACAGAAGCTTCTCTCCTAGGACACTGTTTAGAGAATTTGCTTAATTCAGCTTCATTCAGCAGATTAACAGCGCTTGGATGTTATTCTTATTTGATGAAACTATTAGACTGCTCACTATACTTTAGTTCATCTCCAGAAGTGCCAGAAGCGATCTCGTAATGAGAATACGCATCTGGGGACAACTTGTTAAACTTTTGTTCCTGGATTGTGGCAAAATTCACTGCTAACAAGGGTAATCTGCCATTGCCTCAAGTCTTCAGTTTGTTACCAACATGCCAGCGTTTGAATTTGAAGCCCAAGATGTGAGGGGGATGTGTTTTCCCGATTTTCTCCCCAATTTAGTAGTTTTCAATTCCACCCGCTAGTTAGGACTCCCCCAATCACACGATGCTATCAACGCTAGGAGGGTGAAGGCTAACACAGGCTTCCTCCGAGACCTGTGAAGCCAACCACCGCTTCTTTTCGAGCTGCCACTCACGCAACGTCACTGGACAGCCGAACGCGCTCGGAGGAAAGCGCCAACCGCCAGATCTGTTACGTCAACTAACAGACGCCTGCGCTGACTAGCATCGCGCTGAGTGATGGGGGGAGAAGGAGGGGCCATCGTACCCACCCAGAGAGAGCGAGGCCAATTGTGCTCTCTCAGACTCCCAGCGACGGATGGCTGTAGCATCACCAGGGATCGAACTCGCGATCTCCTGATGATAGGGCCAACCCTTAGACGGTTGCGCCACTCGGGAGCCCGTAAGGGGGATGTTTAAAACTGAGATTCCGTGCCAAAGGGTATGTTGTTTCCTTCTCATCCAAACCAAAAAAAATTTTAAAAACATTGTCAGCATCATTTTTTCTGTGAATTTGGTACTGACAATGCTCTTTTACTACGTGATAATGTCAACATTACGTCCAATATCTTGAGTCATTACAGGTAAGAGAAAAATAGACAAACACTTTTCATGCCTGCTGTGTCAATATGCTTTACCGTGACTGATCAGCTGTCTGATTTTTATTTAGTTATGTGGGTTGTGTTTATGTGAATCCAGGGCAAAGATGGAGGAATAGGCAGGGTGATGACTGCTGTCAGTAATAGGCTATAATAGGGTTGGGTCGATAGATGATGCCATTGTCCATTGTCAATGGCTGAAAGACATGATGTTGAGTCAGCATCGAGATGACATAACCCCCACTGCCCCCACTGACAGTGGGGACGCTTTGGTCACAGGATCAAGTTTACAGCCTAATATTACACCAATTATTCATGCTAATAGTTTTCATTTAATTTAAACATTTTAACTGTGTTTACACAGAGTCAGGTACAGGCACAGGACCATGAAGTTTTCTCTTCTCACTGAAATATCTAATGTTGAAATCTGTTTTTTAAACCAGCATTTCAGTAAATGTTTGTATTTTCACCATGGTAGCTAGCTATATTTGGGTCAAGCTAGCGGTATAAGCTCTGTGCTATTTGGTCATTTTATGTCAGCTCTAGTCTGTCTAGACTGCGGTGTGTGAGTACTTACTTTAGTCTCTCTCAGTAGAAATTGCAGGTCTCGGCCGCTGAGGATGCCGTGGTTTTTGACGTATGTGGGCAGGTGGACGGTGCTGGTGCCGTGGACTGTGCCGTGCACCTCCATGTATGAGTGGATGATGTCCAGATACTTCTTCTTATCCTAGCACACAGAAACAACACAACATAGACATCAACAAGAAACTTACACACAAGCAAACACATAGTATATATATATATATAAATAAAAGTTTCAGGAAGCTAAGAAAAGGAAACAAAAAAGGAACCAAATTTGCAAATTTCATGCATGAATTCCTCAGACTATTCCTCAGATTATTAACCGACCATAAATAAACTCAATCAATCTCCTAATCAACCACAACTGCATAAAGACAAATGTGTAGAGCATGTAAAACTCAGTGCATTCACATTTTTTAAATTATTTTTAAAAGTAACTCCACATGATGACACTACTTCAGGCCCACGCGCGTTTCATGACACCGCAAAAGCACAACCACACTTCAAATGATCTACAACCTGACCTGAAAAACAATATATGGGAAACACCGCTCCACAAATGCAAAGACACATTATATAAACCAGATGCAAACAGCAAGCCACAAGCAAAGAAAACAATTACACAAGTATATAATAAACCATGCACAGGTAAACAACAAACCACATGTAATGAAAACACAACAAAAAACCAAGAAGTAATAAAAATGGTATGTCATAAAGCAAACACCAAAAATGACGAAGGCACTGCAAAAACAAGGTAAACAAGCATAACCACAGGCAAACATACAAGCACAGAGAGAAGAGAAAACAACACTCAGGTAAACCAAACCAAATCATACTAAACAAATCATAACCAGTAATAAAAACTAACAAGAAAGTCTAAGACAGAGATGAAAAAAACACAAAACGAAGACCACTATTTTGCATTCGACAATCGTATCATGAAGAGATTTAAAGTGAACTAGAAGGTATTAAGGCATTTCTGCTGTAGCTCCTGTTTTACACCCCTCTCTTCTGATGTTGTGTCCCGAATCACACTAATTCTGATAATCCCAGGATTACAGTCTGTTACGCCAGGTCGCCATTTTTTGATAAGAGATTACCCTGGCACTGTTCTTCTGAGTTGTGCCAGAAACACACGTGTGTGCATGTCATAGTAAGGCCTATTCTAAGGCCCCATTGACATGTATCCAGGTACATGCACGTAATTCCATCTCTACGTTTTGGCCTCTCCTCCACGCGGTAACTGAAAATGGAGACTTTTCAAAACGCTCTCCAGAGTGGAGATTTTTTTCTGTGTTTTCATGATTTCTAAAAAATCCACAAAACATACTTAAAGACATGTGACTTGATAATCATTAACTAGAGTTGGGCAGTAACCCCTTTTTTTAACCCATTCAAACTCCAAATATTACAGTGATGGGTGTCACATGGTCACCGAATAAGTGAACACAGTGCACAATTTTCAGGTCATTATTCAATAAATTTCAACCCATCTATCTAACAAATGCTAAAAGTTAAACAGTGCTGCTAGCAAAGAGAGAGGAGCTGCTAGGAGTATTAGCTAAGCTGAAATTTTAACAGCTCTGCTCACCACAGAACATGTTCGATTCTGGCTAAATAAAGCTAAGTGGCTAACTTGGTTGGCATGGATAGATCAGCTGTGACCCAGCAACGGAACTTCTTCACAAACGTAACGAGGATTAGAATCTCCAAAAGCAGCTCAAACTGGGCTACAAATATGACAGTTATATGTGGAAGAGCTCAAACTTTCATCTGCTGAATAATGCAATAAATCATTCACTTTACTTTCACTTTCCTAACATAGAAAATACCCTAGAAGCACTGTTTGCTTGTTCTTGTTCCTTCTGCAAAAAAGATCTTCTTTCCACTTAAAGTTATTCATCTGTTTTATACTTATCTTATACTTACCTATGTATATGTTGTGTGTAACTGTGCAAAAGCACTCCAATTTTAGCTTCTGAACGAGGTGGAGAAACTCTGTTTTCCTTTTGTTTTTTCAAAGTGGAAAGAATTGGGCTCAATGTCACTGCTTGCTTGTTTAACAACAACAAACAAATTGTCGCGTTCAGCGTGTAATTTTGATTAAAAAAACCCCTACATTTTCCTGCCATTTATTCATTCTGTGAAAGTCGAAACTGAACATGTACTGTGTTGTTTATAGCTCTTCCCCGTTTCCATCAGCACCACCTATTGTTCTTACAGCACCAACCAGTGAGCCCCTCTAAAATATAAATGGGTTGAATATGTTTATTTAGCCGTTCAGATGTGGAATAGAAATCTGAGGCATGAGAATTTTGAAGTACTGTCATTTATACTATACATTTGTAAATACCAGCTAAATGATTTGCCCCCTTTTTTTTTTCTTTTTTCTAATTTTAAATTAAACAGAACATGTCAAAGTCCTATAATGAGGTGAGAAACGACAACATGTACAACTAACTGACACATCAAACTACTGCTCCCTTGTCCACAATGAACTTTATGCAAATGAGATGAGCGGCGACCAATCAGGTTGTTGTTTTGTGGCATGGTAACCAATTGTGTCACGCCCACAGCCACACACTGAGATATAATGTTGAAATGCACACAGAGCGGGAGAAATAGCTGTTGATAAATGTTTTTTTTTAAGTTTAAAAACAATACTAGGCTGCTTTGGGACTCACAGCTAGCCTATAACTCTGCATAGACTTTCTCTCTTTGAACCTCAACTTCGAACCAGCCAGCTGTTTTCATTTGTGGTTCATATTCTTTCTTTACTTCCTTCATGCTAGAGCTCACGAATGACCGAACACGAATACTTCAAATACTCAACCAGAACAGGAGATAACCAGATATACACAGATATACACATGGCTGGTCATGCGTTTCCTGAATGTCTATCTAGGTATAAGAGCCCGTTTGTTAGAACTGTTATCATCCTAGTGATCTTGTCAATCAGTGTCTAAGGCTACGTTTACGCAGCAGGTAAAAGTGGCCCAAATCCGATCTTTTTCCTCAAATGTGATACAGATGTGTCATTTGTGTGGCAGTGTGAACAGCAAAAACGCACTGAACCTGACATTTTCAATTCCGATTTGAGACGCTTTTATATGTGGTACTGAAATCCGATCTGTATCCGATCTGCGGCAATGTGACTCAGTCTGAACAGCCAGATCGGAATTCATTCGACTTTTACGTCAATCCAACTCGACATTCGTGATAAACATTTAGGCTGATGTTTCTGTACCAAAAAATTAGAGGAGACTCATCCAAACCCTCCGTGTTTGAAGAGATTTCGAACGAAACGGCCGAACGCGGCCGGAGGAGGCCGAGGCTGCAGCGTCAGAGAACAGTTTAAAGAATCCGAGGACACGAACCAAAGAAGTGGCCTTGGCTGAATAAGGTGCCCTTTTTACTGCGAACGCGAACCCATTCTGGGTGATGAGTCCAGCTGTCAGTCATTGGAACTTCATACTCGCTCCTGTGATGCTGGCGAAGACGAAACTGAAAGCTGCGGGAGCGACAGGCGTTCACTGGCCGTCATGACTGTTTACCTCTGGACAAGCCACGTGAAGCACTGTTCTTTTGCGCATGCGGATCGGTTTAGGAGCTGATCTGTTCAGACTGATGTCGCATACAGATCACATTTAAAAGATAATGTGAACAGCCAAACCAAAAAATCGGATTTGGTGAGAAAATCAGATTTGGGTCACTTTTACCTGCTGTGTAAACGTAGCCTAAGTGATGACAGTTTTTGATGACTTGTACGCTCAATAAAGATCATCATTCTGCATGTTGGTCTCCTGACTTCTCTCCTTTGCACAGAAAAACTTTTACACTACATGACGATGTAAACTAGCAGGACTCGTAGGACTGCATGTAAAAAGGTGCAGTACTCATGCTCATATTCTTTTTGAGGACGCAGAATGTTAATCTAACAAATGTGATTTATTACATGGCTATGTAATATAACTAATTATGTTGTGAAAAATAAATTAATTACATCTCATGCTCAACGAAAAGGGGGGACTGAGTCAACACTGTCTGATGGACAACAAGCATGGCATTAGTCCATGGACGTAACACAAGTTAGTATTACATGCAGAGTGAGAGGGAAAACAGTTCTGCCAACAAGTGTTTCATTAGCTAGCTTGATTTGTTTGTTATTGATTGTTCTCACAGAGCATGAACAGAGGAACTTAAGGTGGGTCACAATTCAGCACCAAAAGTTTAATAAGTTATACCCAGATGTGTATTCACATAAAGAAATAGTGAGAGTAGTTACTGAAAAACTGATTACTGCATTGCAATTGTTGCAACGATTCATCAATTATGGGAAAAAATCATTAGTTGCAGCTCTAGTTAATAGATTTCAAAAGTATAGCAAAATGACAATAATAGCTCTCTTCTAAGGCTTAAATTGAGTTTATAGGTTTGTTTCAAGATGATAATGAGCTAAGATAGCTGGGTAATTTCAGTACACAGTGAGGCAGTGAGAGCTGAAGGGTTGGAAGGATGAAACACAGCTCGTTCTTTTGAAGACTATCAACATAGATACGTGACTTCTCAGTCTTTCAAGTATGAAAGAAGATTTAAAAAGGTGATTGGCTGAGTCTCTGTAGTGATCTGCCACACACACAAATTCTTAGTCATACTATCTGAAAGAACAGGCGCACCAATCAGTGTTTTTGGGACCGATACCAATCGACTTTCAGCACGAACAGCCGAGAGCTGTTCGTGGGGGGGTAGGGAGGGGCTGGACTGTTAAAGCCTATTTACACCAAATTACACCAATTGTTTCAGACAAAAAATGGATGCGATTTTAAGGTAGTGGATCTTTAACCTCTGCATTTTTAGTCAGCATTTGCTTGTCACCCTGATGTATGTTTGTTTGGGCTGCAACCATGACAACGGAGCCTGATTTTAACGCATCCAGGCTCCAATTAAAAATCCATGCAGCGGTTCAGGCCGTCAGTTTCGGACCCGGTGTGAAAGACACCATTAATATGTGTGTGTTCATTTTCAAAACTTGGTGTGTGTTTTTTCGTCTGTAAAAATTGGGCTTTAGTCCTGTAGTCAAAAGTCAGAAGGTCTGTATTTCCATCTAGCATTTGAACAAGGAACTGCAGGGTCCTGTGACAA